GAGAAAGACAGATTATTTAAACTTGGGATGCAAGGAAGCAGCTCTTTTCTGCAGCTTCTGGGAGTCACGTGCCATGCAGGACTAAGCTGTGGTTTAAGGACTCCACGGAGAAGTCCCAACCATGAGAACTATGGTAAAGTTGAACTTTGAACTACTGCACCTTTGAGTAAAGCTAGCCTGTCCTAATTAAACATTTGTTATGATAAGTTCTTAGCATAGAGGGAAAGAGGACCGTGTTCTTCCCTTGCTTAGCCTGAATGTTTGAACAGAACATGCCTGTTCTCTGGAAAAACACCACGCCTGTGTGGTCTTACTGTCTGAAGTGTGGTAACAGGGAGGGGTAGTGGGTAAGCTTGCCGTACCTGGAGCACGATAGCTTGAAGTTGCAATAGAATTGCTCTGCTCTTGCTTTCACCAGGGTAGTGAGAGGAGCAGCAACTAGGGGAAACCTGTAAATGGCAGAGGAAGTACCGAGTTCGGGGTGTACAGCTCTGTGTAGCAGGAGATATTCTCAGAGCTGTTGGTGGCAGGTTGGCAATGGGAGTTACGAAGTTTGTTTTTGGCACCTCTGGGGAGTGAGAAAGGGGCGGCATCGCTGAGAGGAGACTTGGGATGGCTCTGGGGAGCCTCCTGGGAGCCAAGCGGGAGGGGGCTTACACGTTTGCTCCTCAGTATGGATCACAAGGCATGGTAGTACATTCAGGGTGGCTGTATGGGATTCAGGTTATCAAGCATAACCTCAGATTGGTTGAGTTGTGCCATGTGCCCAGTAAGGCATCCATATGCTGTCGGTTTCTAGAACTTTCTTCACTTCCGGTTCCTCCTAGCTCCTTAGTGTTGAATCGCCTTTGTTGGAACTGCTTTGAGAGAGTGATCCACTTCCATCTGAGTAAGATCTTTTTGCCAGTGTGGTAGTAAGGAGCTTAGAATTGTGTTGGCAAAAACTCTAGCTGGAAAGATTCCTTTACAGTGCAAAAGTTCTTTCCGTCTTGATAGAAGGCTAGGAATCCTGTTGCTGGCAAAAGTAAGTATAATTGTTTGAGCCTGGATTGAGTTGCTAATAGACTCCATTGAGATAAGGAATCTCTTCTTCTTCTTCTCTTCTTTAGTGTTGAATCGGCTCTGTTGGAACTGCTTTGAGAGAGTGATCCGCTTCCATCTGAGTAAGATCTTTTTGCCAGTGTGGTAGTAAGGAGCTTAGAATTGTGTTGGCAAAAACTCTAGCTGGAAAGATTCCTTTACAGTGCAAAAGTTCTTTCCGTCTTGATAGAAGGCTAGGAATCCTGTTGCTGGCAAAAGTAAGTATAATTGTTTGAGCCTGGATTGAGTTGCTAATAGACTCCATTGAGATAAGGTCGATTGGCTGCAGTTTCTCACTTAGAAGGGCTTTTAAGTGGTGGGTGGCCTGCCGTAGTGACTTCCAGAGTATCATCTGCCCCTAATGTCTGCAGACAGCTCCTTAGCGCAGATTCCAATGACCAGATAGCATTACAGATTGCCTTAAAGGTAAAGGTTCCTTTGCTCAAAAGCCAGTCGACTCCGACTCTAGGGTTGCGGTGCTCATCTCCGTTTCAAAGCCAAAGAGCCAGCGCTGTCTGAAGACGTTTCCGTGGTCATGTGGCCGGCATGACTAAATACCAAGGCGCACGGAATGCTGTTACCTTCCCACCAAAGTGGTCCCTATTTATCTACTTGCAATTTCTTGCTTTCGAACTGCTAGGTTGGCAGGAGACAGATTGCCTTAGGACTTGACAAATTATTTGTTAACTAGTTTTCCAAGAATCTGCAGGTGTTCGTCCCCTAGACCATTTATGGTGGCTTCCTGCCATAGCACCTGAGTAGTAGAAAAGGAAGTCTCCACCACTTCTTTCCCCTCCCTATAAAACAGAGAACAGGAGAAAACTGATTTGGGTACATGGAAAACAGAGCAGAAGCAACAGTGAGGTTTAGGAGCACTGGGTTTAGCTGTCTTCTCACATAATGCTGAATCATGGCAGAGAGGGATATGGAGTATTTGTAGAGGGGCCGGAAGTAGGGTTGCCAAGTCCATCCATCTTCCACCCCTGGCGGGGGACTTTGGGGGCGTTCCTGGAGGGGGCAGGGCATCCCCGACGTGATGACATCATGTTGGGGACGTCTGCCCCCCCCCCATGCGCCAGATCTTCAGAAATGGCAGTTCTCTGCACTTAAAGGAGCCGACGTTTCGCTTTTAAATGCAGGAGCCGACGTTTCCCCTTTAAGAGCAGCCGCGTTTCCCTTTTGAGAATATGAAGCTGGCATTTCCCTGCAAACTTGCGAAGATCCGGCTTGGGAGGAAACACGGGTTCCACACACTTAAAGGGAGAGAGATGGGTGGCTGTGGGTGTTGGGGGCGGGTAAAACCCCCCCAAAACAGGGGACCCCTGGCAAACCGGGGGGGAGGGTTTGGCAACCCTAGTCGGAAGTGAAGGGAGAGACTTCATAATCTCTTATTTGCTGCTGCTTCCTAACACTACAGTGGCCCTCGTTCAATATCTAATCTGTTTTGAAAGGTTGTAAAGGAGCAGATGAGGAAGCCTACGGCAAATGCAGAGGCAATTTGCCAGTTTGGTGTAGTGGTTAAGTGTGCGGACTCTAATCTGGGAGAACCGGGTTTGATTCCCCACTCCTCCACTTGCACCTGCTGATGTGACCTTGGGTCAGTCACAAGCTCTGGCACAGCTGTCCTTGAAAAAGAGCAGTTCTTGAAAGAGCTCTCTCAGCCCCACCTACCTCACGGGGTGTCTGTTGTGGGGAGGGGAAGGGAAAGGAGTTTGTAAGCCGCTCTGAGACTCAAAGTGAAGGGCGGGGTATAAATCCAATCTCTTCTTCTTCTGCTAAGCATTTTGGTTAATCACTAGTGTTCGTGGGCTGTGTTCCAAAAGCCAGTTTCAAAGTACACTTTTCAAATGACTAACTACTCTGGTTTAGATTTTATCTAGCATAAGCGGAAAAGTGATCAAGGAAGGCGTTTTTTCACCCTCCATCTTCCCAGTGCAGCCAGCTGTGCTCCTTGGGGCTGATTGGGAATTGGGTCAGCATGAGAGAGTCTGCACTGGGGGAAAAGAATCTGTGAAAACTACCCCCACTTCCTTTCCACTGGTGGAAGTGCCACAGAATGTTAGGACAGCATCAAGGTCACCTAGGTCTGAATCCCCATTCTGCCATGGAAGCTTGCCAGGTGACCTTGAGCCAGTCATTCTTAGCTTAAACTACCTCACAGGATAAAATGGAGAGAACATTGTATGTTGCTTTGGGTCCTCATTGGAGAGAAAGGTAGGGTATAAATAAATATGTACCTTCTGTCAGCAAAAAACACAGGATCCAAACAGCCCCCCCCCCTATTTTGTAAAGTAAAGGTTTCTTTCCCTTGCTCGAAAGCCAGTCAAATCCAACTCTAGGGGGCGGTGCTCATCTCCGTTTCCAAGCCAAAGAGCCAGCGCTGTCCGAAGATGTTTCCGTGGTCACGTGGCCGGCATAAATAAACACCAAGGTGCATGGAACGCTGTTACCTTCCCACCGAAGTGGTACCTATTTATGTGCTTGCAATTTCTTGCGTTTGAACTGCTAGGTTGGCAGGAGCTGGGTAGAGACTCTAATCTTGGAGAACTGGGTTTGATTCTCCACTCCTCCACTTGCAGCTGCTGGATGACCTTGGGCAAGCCATAGTTATTTCACAGCTGTTCTTGAAAAGATATACCCTGCCCTTCACTCGGAGTCTCACAGTGGCTTACAGTCTCCTTCCCTTCCTCTCCCCATAACAAACACCCTGTGAGGTAGGTGGGGCTGAGAGTGCTGCTCTTGAGAGAATAGCCCTGAGAACTGTGGCTTGCCCAAGGTCAACCAGCAGCTACATGTTGAGGAGTGGGGAATCAAACCCAGTTCTCTCAGAGTCTGTGCTGTTAACTACTATGCCAAATAGGCTGCAGGTGGTTTTCACAGATTCTTTCTTAACCCTGGAGTGGCGCTCTGGCAGAAACGAGACCAGGCCCCACCCCCCAGGGGGGGAATTAAATGCCTGGCTTCCCAGTCCAATCTTCTCCAGGTGCCCCGCAGACGCAGGGCATCTAGAGAAGATCGAGCAGGGAAGCCAGGCATGTCTCCCCGCCTCCCCTTCTCCAGCCACCCTGCCGTGGCAGGCTGGCTTGAGGAGGCACGGGAGATGGGGAGACATCTTTTACGGAGAGACTCCGGGGGGGGGGGGGTTTAAGGGGGGGAGGGGGGGACATTTTTGACGGAACAACCTGGGGGGGGGGGGATTTAAATGCCCTGGTTTCCCTGCCCGATCTTCTCCAGCAGGATCTTCTCTGGAAGATCAAGCAGGGAAGCTAGGCATGTCTCCCCGCCTCCCATCTCTCCCTCCCCCCTTCTTGCCTTCTGACATACTTCCGGTGATGTCAGGGGGTGTGGCATATGCAAATAACTTATGCTAATGAATTATACTAATGAGCTCCTGCACCTCTTTTTCTACGAAATGACCCCTATTCCTAACCACTACACCAAAAGACTGCAGCTTTTCCTTCTTTGCTTCCAGGCTTCTACTTTCTTGTTGCTGTACACTTTCTGGGGAGTTTTGGTTGATCAAATAGTTACGTTAGCAATACTGTTTAAAGCATGGTGATTTAGGATATGAGAGCTGAACGCTTTGAACTAAATAAATTGTTCTGCTGTTGGATTTTCGTCTCTTGCAATGTATGGAATAAAATACCTTTAGGCACAAACTGTCCTTCTAGAATTAATTGCCGCCACTGCATTGTTCTTGATTGTACCATGTTAATGAATAATTTGCTGCTGAATATGTTATGAGAAAATATATGAAGATTTGTTAATGTAGGCAATGATAGTTAACAATTATAAAGTATCAGTTGTGTGAACACATGAAATTGCCTTATACTGGATCAGACCATCAGTCCATCAACGTCTGTATTGTGTACTCAGTCTGGCAGAGGTATTTCACATCACCTACTGCCAAACTCTTTAACTGAAGATACCAGGGATTGAACCTGGGACTTTCTGCATGACAAGCAGATGCCCTTCCACTGAGCCACAGCCTCTAACTAGGGATTATCACTTTTTAGATGTGTTGCATCCAGATGCGCAATACCTGGGAGTCCTTGTAAGTCAATTATTTTATAACACAAAGCAGAAGAAGAGGAGACTGGATTTATACCCCGCCCTTCACTCAGAGTCTCAGAGCGGCTTACAAACTCCTTTCCCTTCCCCTCCCCACAACAGACACCCTGTGAGGTGGGTGGGGCTGAGAAAGATCTTTCGGGAACTGCTCTTTCAAGAACAGCTCTGACAGAACTATGGTTTGCCCAAGGTCATCCAGCAGCTGCAAGTGGCATTGTACAATGCACGCGCACACACACACACACACACACAGTACAATGCATATATGTTCTGCAGCAGTATACATAAAACATAAAGAAGAAAAAAGAAATAAAATAAATGTACTCTGTCATGTTTTCTAGTACCTAAAGTGCCAGAAGAAGAAAAATCTGGACTTTGTGGCAATACGGAGCCCATGAATCTCACAAGGAGTCTTTATATTATTGTTCACAATGAAAAAGAGGTTAACTCTCATCAGTTTCCAAGCTCGACTTTCTCTTGCAGCTGAGATCTCCATTTTATCAATCTTGATGTTTTGAAGCAAAGGAGCTTTCTGGTTCTATAATTTTAGTTCCTGAGAAGCTTTTATGAGGAGTTTTTATGAGGAGTTCTTAATCCATTAATGTAATTTCTTTTTTTCCCTTTTTTATATATAATTTCTTTATTGAATTTTAAGGACATAACAAACACAGAAAAACAAACAAATACCCAACCAAAGATTACATTAATCAACATCATTGCAACAATCAAACTTAATTTTAAAACATTTCTTCATATCTCACGTATTTTCCCACTATAAATCAACACATATTTCTCCTAATCTATCAATTTCTTCATAGTTCTACAGGCAGATAGGTGAATCCAGTACCAAATAGACACATTTAAGCAGTTCTTGCCAGGAAAAGAAAACTCAATCCTATGACATACAAGTTTGTCTTATAACGATTCTGCTCACGCATCATAGTTCAGATGATGTAACAGGTACTGGTAACCATGGTATAAAACATTATGTGGAGCTAAAAGTAGATGGATGCTCAGCAAGAGACATAAATAAGCTTTTAAGGCTGATTGCTGTTGATTGGATGTATCAATAGGGAATGATTCTGCCAAAATTGAGCATTTGTCTGACTCACTGAAACCAGTGGCATCTAGAAGTACTTAATTGTGTCTGCCCTGTTCTCCTCCCCCACGACTGAGGCACCTCGTCGGACCTGATTTAGAGGAATATGCCCTGTTTACATCAAGGGATGTGCTGCACACATAGAGTTTAATTGAATTGACCAGATACGTCTTTAAAAGTACCTCCATTCAGGACTACTGCTTCTTATACATGACTCATTGCTGGTGGCTAGAGCTGGATTAGGCCAATGGATTAGTTTAATTTAAGGAAGCAGTTTTAAGCAGCTAAGTACTGTAACAAATTGGCTCTGGTCTTGTTACCTCTGGTTTTCCAGTGTATGTTTTTCCCCCCAGCCAGTTCTTATTTCCTTTTTATGTTGCCTTATTTATGGCAAACCACTTTGAATAAAACTATGCTATATTTCAGTGCTTTTTTTAAAAACATAACCCTTCCCTCAAATGCAGGCTTTGTATGCCAGGCAGTGTAAACATGCCCAGTAAATCAATTTGATCTGGGAGAGGAATGGTTTCATTAGAAATTGTAGCTTCTGGGCTAACTGTAGCAGAACATTCTAATGCAGAATAAACAGCTGTCCATATTTATGTAAAAAGGAATATATGGTAACTACCGTTTCTCTGCTTTTTGTATAAGGGAGATTAAATGGAGATTAAAAATAATAATTAATAATGGAGATTAAAAATAGTTCAGAATTTTAAAAGGCAACTCACAATTCATTTTTTCTAGTACACCCATTCCAAAGGCTTACCGAGAGAATAGGGGGCAATAAATTGAAACTGTGTACCTACAATCAAGTTCAGCTTAAGTAAAATGTTTTTTAAAAAACTCAGAGAAGCATAAGTGGTATTATCCTATATTTCAAGTAACTGTGTGTGGGGTGGAGGTGTGGGGGGGTGGAGCTGAGAGTGATTTGTTTGAGACTGCCTATGGTGTTCTGTAGTGTAAAGTAGCCCAGCTAAAAGCTCATAATGCATAGTTCAGAATTGTCTCTGTGTGGTTCTTGAGAAGATGATCCCAGGGTTGGCACAGACAGTGTTTTTTGTATTCTTGTTGTCTGAACATAATACACGGATATTGCTTTTAAAGCCCGCTTGCTGCACAGAATCTAAAAAGCAGGAATAACAGTTTAATAATCCATCACCCTATGTGGTCTTCAGTAAGACAGCTGGTGGCCGTTGACTGCATGTCTCCAAGGAAATCTGGAAACGAGTTGGATCCATCTTTTTTGAGGGCAAACTATTCAAAGAGCACCCCCCCCCCCAAACTATGGAGGCTGGAAGTCACCAGACCTTTGAAGCGAACAAAAACTATAATGTTAATCTTTGTTCCCAGTGCAGTTCGGCTTGCCCTATGTGTAGGTTCTCAGAATTCTTCTTTACACAAAGGGTGCATTCAGATGGGGCATTTGCAACGGAATAGATGCCAGTTGCAATAGGTGAACTTACCGGAGTTCACACGTAGAACATCTGCCTTCCATCCCTAACCGTTGCAAAGCCCTTTAAACCGTTGTACTCTGCCACTAGGTCCCCAAGTGGTGGTATCCTGAGTACAACGGTTGTAATCGGTTTACCCCTGTCTGATCGCTCTCCACCGGTGTCTAGCCATTTCCGTTCGGAAGCCCGAGGCTTCCGATTTTCGCCCACCATTTTTTTTTTAGGTTGCCAATATGCGCTTGGGCGAAGCTTTGTCCCGGCGTTTGTTTTTTTAAAAAAGAAAAGGCCCTTAGTATAACATTTTGGAGGAGTCCGGGACTTCAGGGAGGCCAGTTTGGGCTTTAAACTTTAAAGGTAAGTCCTTACCTTTAAACTTTAAATGTAATACGGGGTGTTTTGGGCATGCGCAAAGATCGCCATTCTGTGGATGGCTGCCTATGCGCATGCTCCACTAAACATTTGAATCCCAGAGCCAGGAGGAAACATCAGGGGAAGGCCTCGACCTCTATGCCCTGTTGTTGGCTCTCCAGAAACAGGATGCTGGACTAGATGGACCATTGGTCTGATCCAGCAGTGCTCTTCTTATGTTCTTAATATGTTTTTACGTGCTATAATGTTTTACACTGCTCCAACTAGAGGGGCCTGAGTATGGATGTTGTTTCCCCATAGTCCTTCAAAATCAAGTCCAAATTGACTTATCAGCTTTGAGGGAGTTTGCTAGGCTGGTATGGTAGCAGACTCCTCAACTTCTATCTTGAATGTACTGCAAGGATATTTATGTATTCCACCTTTCTACAAAATGCAGCTAATAATTTATCACAAAAGATGTGATAAATCACGAGATTTTTCTTCTCACATTGACACAGAGAGTACTCCATCTTTTTGTGTTTTACCTCTGAGATGCCAGTCACAGCTGCTGGTGAAATGTCAAGTACTATAACTCCCAAGACCACAGCCATACGGCCTGGAAAATCTACAACAACTAATGAACTCTAGCCCGTGAAAGCCTTTGATAACATATTAATCACAAGATACTTCATCACAAAACGTTCAAAAGAATGTAAATTAGCAGCTTGAACTTCAGATGTACTTTTGATAAAGGTGGTCTGGGGGATAATGAAGCTGGCTAAGGAAGCAGAATCCTTACTAAATCCAGGCAACTCTGCCATGCCGCTTCCCTCCGTTTGTGCTGCATTGTGAAGTTGGTGGGTGGGCTTAAAAGCAGGATAATTCTCTGCTTGAGCCCAAGAACAATAGGAGTGATAATATTGCAGCCTGGACTTAGGAAGCTTACAAAAAATATGCTAAACCAAATTCTCTTTTTGTGTACAAACCAGAAAGCGGCTGGGGGTAGAAAAACATAGGGTTTTCTAGGAAATCAGGAACGGTAGTTATATGGCTCATTGGGAAAAGAAACGAAAAGTAAATGCAAATGAGTCTGAGGCATTGCTGCAGACCTGGTTGCCTGATGGTCAGGGCCGGCCCGAGGTTTTTTCGTGCCCTAGGTGGGGCTAGCTTGTGGCGCCCCCCCAGGTGAGGTTGCCTTGTGGCGCCTCCCCTCATGTTCGAGCTCCCGCTAAAACTCCTCCCAGTCCGCCGCCGGCTGCTTTATAATATATGTTAGAAAAATATTCTAAAGAAGGAAAGGGGAAAGAAACGAAAGCTAGGGGCTGAAAGGAGAATTGGGATGCAATTGATACACAAGAAGGCCAAAGAACAGGGAAGGAGGAAGGGCGTTCTCAGGTGGCCTCCTGGGGCTGAGGATGCTTCTTTCAGCAGATCCCTTCCCGGAGATGTCCCTGGGTGGAGAGTGGCGGAGAGTGTCTTCCCCAGCCAGACCACCTGCCTGCCGCCCCTCACCTACATGGCCGCTTCTCGCTGGAGCCGGCGTCCTTGTTGTCGTCAAGCGGCGTCAACAGTACCCTGCTGTGGCCCGAGCCCCTCTTCAGCCTGGTGAGCGGCCTGGTGGGCATGGCCAATCAAGCGCCCCCCTCCTTCCCGGAGGTGTTGAGCCAGCCCTTCCCCAGCCCGTCGGGCTCCTCGCTGCAGTTTGCGCTGCCCGCCTACCTGCCGGTGGCCAAGGGCTCCTTCCAGCTGCCCATCATCCCGGACTACCTGTTCCTGCAGCAGCTGCCGGTGCAAAGTGAGCTGGGCAGCCTGGAGCAGAAGCCCTTCCCCAGCCCGCCGCCCTCGCTCACACCGCTCTCCACCATCAAGGCCTTTGCAACGCAGAGCAGCAGCGGTGGCGGGGGGCAGCAGGAGCACAAGAGCGTCTTCCTTGCCGACCCATTGTCATGCGGGGGGGCGGGCGAAGAGACGGTGGTGGCCAGGACGCGCGGCTTGAGCTTTTGACGGGGGTGGGGGGTGGGTCAGTCCAGCGCCCCCATGATGGTCCTGCACTCTAGGTGAGAGTCTAGCTCGCCTAGTGAGTGAGCTGGCCCTGCTGATGGTACATATTGCACCAGTAGCACCTTAGAGACCAACAGGCATTTCGGGTCAAGATGGGTTGCCGTGTTAGTCTGACTGTAGCAGAAGAGAAGAGCAAGAGTCCAGTAGCACTTTAAAGACTAACAAAATTTGTGGCAGGGTATGAGTTTTCATGAGTCACTGCTCACTACTTGAGATTTCAGGGTAAGCTTTCTTATTTCTTCAGCTTCAGGGTATACGTTTTTGAGAGTCAAAGCTCCCTTTGTCAGACATGAGCAGAATAGAAATGGTGGTCTCTGAGTCCTTTTAACCTATTCAGGAGGTGGGAGGGGTGTTGTAAAGAGCTTGTAAAGGACTCAAGGTACAATGCATATTGTAATCAGCTTGATTAGAGCAGAGGAGAGATGGTTGGGGGCAGAAAATTAGCATCTGTCTCCCTATCCAGCTCTGAAACTCTTTTTGGTCTCTAAGGTGCTAGAGAACCTAGCTGTTCTGCTTCAGTATAATGGTCATCTCACTGAAAAGTACCAGTGAAAGCTATGAAAAAGGATGTTAATTTAAAATGTTGCCAGCTGTCTTTGGATGAGGAAAAAAGGCTGAATGGAAGTAGACTTCAAAATCTCACCATCTCAGTTGGACAAAGAACAAAATGTCACCACGATTGGCTGCTAAGCCATTTATTCTAGGAAACCTCCCCCTTCTTCCCCCAGCCCATGTATTGTTCCTGTTAGTGCATGGATTCACTTTCATGAGATTCATAATGAATATAATGCATATTGGATAGGTTACAAATGGAATTTTAAGAATACTGCTGTACATGAATATAGGGTTTTTAAATATAAAAATGTGATGTGTTCTCCATTATGGCTAGAGTGGTGGGGGCTGCGCAGCACTTTGAAGCGAATAATACCTATGTTCCCTTTAAATCTATTTTATGCTAACAGGGACTCATTAGCATTTCCGTGATAAGGGTAACCTGTCTAATTTCTTGGAATGCCACAATTCTTTATGTAGTGGGCTGTAATATTTTCCAAAGGGCTAGAGCAAATGAATTTGGTGATAGGGTGTGGTACAATTAAGATGTGACAGATGATATTTACAGTCTGTCAGCCTGCTGGTGCAAAGTAAAAGTTCTAAGAGAACTAGTGTCTCTATTTTAAAAGTCACCTAGAGACGTTGCATGTTAATCATGTGTGCTGTGGTCATATGATCAATCTGATGTATGCTGGGGATTTAGAGACAATGTAGTACAGCAGTTAGAGTATAGGACTAGGATCTGGAAGACCCAGGCTTGAATCCCCACTTTGCCATGGAAGCTTGCTGTCTTTTTTAAAAAATTATTTCAATAGGGGGGTGGGCAGCAAAAAGAACAAGGAGGAAAAAAAACTAAAAGGGGGGGGAGAAGATAAACAGTAGCAACAAACATATAACAGGGGTGGAAGATCTACACGCGTTTCTGTAAAAGATTTCCAAGTATCTAAAAATAAGTCCCTACGCAATTGTTGTCTGTGTGCCATGTGTTCAAAATTGATAAAGTTGTAAGGTCCCCAATCCACTGATTTACAGGAGTTTGGCATTTATCTCTCCAAGTCTTCTGATACAAGTCGTCTAGCTATAACAAGGACATGGAGGGTCCATTACTGTTGACCACTGGTTAGCCTCCAAGAGACAGGCAGATAGTTTGAAAGTACATAAGCATCCTCACAAATCAACGGACATTTTAATACAGAATTGATATGAGTAGTGACTTGCTGTGTGACTTTGTGCCAGTCTCTCTCAGCCTAACCTACCAGTGTTGTTGTGAGGTTAAAATGAAGCGTCATTGGGAAGAAAATCAGGGTATAAATATCTTAAGTCCCAAACTGGTAATGATTTATATATGAATAGAAGTAGCAAGCATTTAAATTGGAGGAGCAACAAACTAGACTGAAAGGGTGTGGACTCACGGTGGCGGTTCTGTTACAAAAAGGTTCTATTCACATTAAATGCTCAGATATATAAAGATACTAGCCTGTTACCCGTGCTTCGCTGCGGTATTTAAGTTCCGTAAATCCAGTTATAATACTGATGATGTGAAATCTGAAATGTGACATTTGTTGTAAGAATTCTAATGGAGAAGATTGTAGTGTGAGAAATGAAGTGAGACTTACATACTTTTTCTCTCTAGACCACATTGGTGGTTCTGCCCTCAGGTGCTAGGATCACCAGGCTGACTCACTCTGTGATGAGTGATGAGCTCACTCTGGAGCAGGCCACATAGAACTGTCCATTTAAGAACCACTCGTCTGCTAAGTCAACTACTGCTACCTTCCACGAAAGTGATGGCCTCTCTACTTGTATTCCTGGATTGTTTTGCTCATATGGAGACTGTGTTCTTCTGAGCACCTCAGGGTGATCTTGCTGATACTTGGCCTGTGCAGCTCAGTGCATTGCAGGAGTACTATGTGCAAATGTCTTTGCTGCATTCCTAAGTTGCTGCCTCCTTGGAGCGTTGGTGTATCTGGCTTGACGTTTGCCAGGAGCTTTCTTGGGGGCAGTAAGTGGTGTGAGTTGGTGTGATGGAGTGGTGATGTGGTGAACATTTCTTCAGGTTCATGAGGGAGGCATGCATCGAAATAGCTCATAGAAATGTCCTTTACTATCTCCCCATAAACATTCATACCCTGGCCCTGCTCCTACGCTTGACAGACACCGGCCTGTCTGGTGTGTGTGTGGGGGTTGTATTTAAAGGCATCGGGGAGGCTGGGCCAGCAGCAGTGCTAAGGCAATCCTGCTGAGCAAACCTCCCCAGCAGCTGTAAGCATCCCACTTCCTCTCCTACATCGGACAGGTAGCTGCCTCTCCAGTGTAGAACGGGGAGGGGGAGGAGTATTAGAAGCCACTGTGGAGGCAGGGCTGGCAGGATCACTAAGGTGTTACTGCTGGGGTAGGCTCCCTCATGGCTTTAAGCACCCTGCAGCCACTGCTGCACCTGACAGACAACCACCTGTTAGGTGTAGTAGGTGGGGGAGTGTGTTGGAAGCCATCAGAGAGGCTGGGCTAGCAGCATTGCTAAGGTCATCCTGCTGGGGCAGCGTCCCTGATGGATTTAAGTACCCTGGTCCTGCTCCTACACTTGGCACACACTGGCCTGTCTGGTGTTGGGGGGGATTGTATTTAAAGGCATAAGGGAGGCTGGGCCAGTGCTAAGCAGTGCTAAGGCAATCCTGCTGCGCAAACCTCCCCGGCGGGTGTAAGCATCCCACCTCCTCTCTTACCCCTGACAGGCAGCTGCCTGTCCAGTATAGGAGGGGGGGAGTATTAGAAGCCACTGTGGAGGTGGGGCCGGCAGGATCACTAAGGCATCACTGCTGGGGCAGGCTCCCTCGGGGCTTTAAGCACCTTGCAACTGCTGCTGCACCTGACAGACAACTGCCTGTTAGGTGTAGGAGGTGGGGGGAGTGTGTTGGAAGCCATCCTACATCCTCTCCTGCACCTGACAGGCAGCTGCCTGTCCAGTGTAGGATGGGGAGGGGGGAGGAGTATTAGAAGCCACTGTGGAGGTGGGGCTGCACCTGACAGACAACCCCGTGTTAGGTGTAGGAGGTGGAGAGAGTATGTTGGAAGCCATCAGAGAGGCTGGGCCTGCAGCTTTGCTTCACCTCACAGGTGGTTCTTGGCCACTCCTAATTTCCTCAACTGTCATTAGCTCTCTGCAGTCCCCTGTAACTGTTGGGGTTTTTTTACCTCAGAACACTGAGCCCTGCAGCTGACCAATCAGAGAGTGGGGGGGTGCAGAGAGGCAGCTGCCTGGCAGCTGCATAGGTATCAGTGGGGGGAGCACATTTTCATCCTTTTGACTCACTTAGGGGGTCGAATTTCTAAAAATCCCTTCTTAGTGAGCATCTATGCCACAGTAGCCCAATCGCTCGCTCACAACTTTAATGCCAGCAGCTCACAAAGTAGGATTATTGCTCACAAGACTCCACAGCTTAGGGGGAACATTGGTCAAAACCTTTGTGTACTTTTAAATAATGGGTACAGTATACTCAGAGTTGACTAGATTTGCTCATTTGTATCTTGTACTGCACAATTCAAATAACTTTTTAGAGTCTTAGAATGTTAGCATACTGGTTCAGACCTGTACAACTTTTAACTCACTAAGCTACGTGGACCATAAGCGATGTAGTGGGGCAGCCAGGTACTTGGCCATATGCAATCTCTGACAGTCCCAGGCAGGCAAAAAAACAGAAGAGAGGTTTGCGGTTGGGCTGCATTTGTCTTGATGAATTGCAGGTTTTACATGCCATTACTGTCATGGGTTTGTACCTCTGTGACTGTACTAAAAAACCTGTCACTGTAAATTGCTTTTACTACTGATACTGGGATGATTGAAGAATTATTGTATCTATTTATAAGCTGTTTTCCAAGCACATGGGCACAAAAGTGTACTATAGAACGCATTGGAAGCAGTGGTGATAGCTGCAAAAAAAAAAAAGTGATATTTTTACCTGTCATTGCATCAGCTAGTTCATGGTTGTCCTAACTTTTAAAGATGTCTGGGCATCTTCTGACTCCTAGAGCTGAGCCTCTGCCTCAGGTACAATAAATCACTTGTGGTTCTTTTGCAGAGTTTTTTGCCAATGTTCTGAGTTGGATGCTGGTTGTAACAGAACTCATGCATGTGTCTAGCTATTGCATGTGTCTGGTCCATTTGACTCAGTTGTCAGCAGCATCTTGGAATCCATGAAAGCCATCATGTGCCCTCAGTCCCTGCACATTGTGGCTGCTGAACTCATATAAGGATCACATTAATGAGCTTTTGATGTCCATCATAAACCAATCACTGACTGAGGTCATCCTCCCTCAGCAATTGAAAGAGGCAGTTACTCATCCACTGCTTAAAAAGGTCACTTCAGAAAAAAGATGTGTCTAAATATTGTCCT